ATCTTTTTTCATTTTTCATTCACACTTTTATTAATATAGCTTTCATACTCCTTTCTGTGATGAAACATATTCAATTTGGTTGTGCATATTGGAAGTGAAATGGTCAATTTGTTAGTTATTTGCTTTATTTAACATCGCACGCATAACTAAGATATTTCGGCGACAGGGTAGTAGACTGATTAAGAAATGAGGGGGAACAAAAATATAAATGTTGAAAGAGTGTTGTTACTACCCAAAAGACAACAACAACAAAACCAACTGAGTATTAAGGGAAATTTGAATGGGAGGCAGAAACCATAGGTAAAAAATATGAAATAGGTAAAGAGTAATAGAGATTTTGAATTTAATATAGATGTAGTGTAGTAAATGGTTATTGTTGTTATTATTGTATGTTTTTAACCGACCCATGTTTAAAGGCATATTTATTATGTGAATAATGATAAACATATAAAAGGTTAATAATCGAAGTTGTTAAAAAGAGAGAATTCTTTTGAATTAATTTGGGATTTGTTAGAATGTGCTTGAGATCAGAAGAGTTAGCATTGTTGAGGTACTGTTTTAAAGCTTTGGTAAATGGGGTTCTTTGTTTATTATATTTGAACAGTAAAAGATCGTATGAGCTATTGTTTCAGGAATTTGGCAAGTGATACATTTGTCGTTTGGATGAAGGTTGATTTTGTGTAGATAGTGATTAAGATTGCAATTTGCTAATCTTAATCTGGTTATGGCAACATCAATTCAGTGTGTTTGGTGATAATTTTTACATTTTGTATTTAGTGTTTGTTGAATTTGGTAGAGTGGATAATGTTTTCCTATTATTTGCCAGTTATAATTAAATTTATGTATTATTATATTGTTAACTTTAGGTATGTTTTGGAGTAAGGTATTTTTATTTTGTTTTTTTGAGTGGAGTCCAAGTTTGGCAGCTTTCGTTGCCATGGACTCCGATATGTGACGGGACCCAGATAAAATGTATTCTACCATGAATCAAGAAAATACTAGATTCTGATTGGTTGTTCAGAAAAATCAGACGGCATCAATTGTGGATTGACGCTCATCTGATTGTAAGGCCGCTTCACCGCGCATTAACAAATCTTATTGTGAGAACTACTTCCGTTTGACCACAATGATGGCGGATCATAACAACAACTCCATGGATTTTGACGCTGACTTTCGAATATTCCACATAGGCAATTGGAAATTTTTGGATTAAAAATGCGTTTGATTTCATTGCGCTTCACTGCGCACGTATAGAGCACTGCCGCACTACTTCAGCTTGACCACCAACATGACTAATATCAACACAACAGACGTGATGGAAATGCTGATCAAACATTTATTTAAACTCGAAAAATACAATTATATGATTTTCCCCCGACAATTATGAGGGAACCTCACTATCATATTACCTTCTATTATAAAAATATTCAAACTCAGTTACAATACACAGCCCCAAACATAAACAAAACAATATCTAACACATAAATCAGAAAGCCTTGTAAAAATACATCCCTATCTATACAAAATATGCATCAAAACATTAGTAAACATTTACCTACCTGGTAAATGGTATATTTAATTCCGTTTAGAATGGGAAATTTGCAAGATAGATCTAACGGTCTGGCGAAACACCACATTAATGCCACTCATAGTCATACTCCATCATATCCGTTGCATCGTTCACAAAATAATTCTGCTCTCTGCCAGCTTCCCCGCAAGGTTGTCACTGTTATGTTCATCTACTTTGAAACACGCTTGGACACAGTCCAGTCCCAAACGATGAAAACAAAGTTCCTAGGAATCACAAGTTAGTCGCATGTACTCTAAGCAGCAGCACTGTCACCCTTTCGTCGCATGCCCGGTGGAGGCAGTACGTGAAATCATGATCGGCCGGTCATAAAATCAACAGTCTTTGATGAGTTACAGGTCGTTAGGTTGATCAGGAAAGGATCTATTCTTCGATTCTGCAGGGTTCAGATTCGACAGTCAGTCAAGTATTGCCCACTGTCACTTCAAATTACAACCTTTCACAAAATGTAAACACTGGCTCGTCCGCCATTTCAAACTGTTGCGTAACTGTCTACTTCGAAGAAAATAAGTAGGTCAGGCGATTCCATTATAGTGTGGCCAGGGGTACAGTTTCACGGCACACAAAACAATAGGCTGGTTTTAGTCGTGTGGAGTTGGGATGAAAAAAGACGCAAGATCTCGGGTATTACATAATTGCATAGAATAAACAGTAGTTTGATTTCTTTGGACAGAATATTGTTATGTTGTAATGTTAAAAACTACTGAACGGCACCTACCGCTCCCTTCACAGACGAAGTTCAATTAAGCCTCTGCGTCCCATGCCGGATTACGCGTGTCTTCCGCAGAAGCGAGGAAGTTCGATTTTAAATGGTTCAAGGTAGAATGGAGATAACCTAGTGTGTTTGAAAATCAGAGACATGCTTTACTGAATTGGCGGCGACTAAATATTTCAATTGAAACCTCACGCTCACGCCGCTTGGGTTCCAATTGAAATTTAGTCGCCATCAATTCAGTAAAGCATGTCTCTGATTTTCAAACACCCTAGGTTTATCTCCTAATTTGATTATTTTTTTTTTGGTGGTATAGTATATCTTATCATAACATCTCCTCTTACTGCTACTCCAACAGTAGTAGTAGTTTTGTTAACCAAAGGATTTATTCTATTTATAAATACACTGGTTAATGCCATTTAATACAACATTCAGACTGACTAGTAGTGAACCCAAGATCACAACTCTCCCCAAGACTCCCCATGTACTTAGTTAGCCTTACTTTCAAAACAATGTTATCATAACAGGCTTCTCACCAAATTCAAGGTCAAACTATTTCTTAAATCAAATTTTACATCCATTTACGTTAACATTTTTAAAAAGTCAACATTACTATGAAATCAAAATTTTACATCAAACTCAACTTTTTTATCAAAGTAAATAAAAAAAATTTAAGAAACCAAATTATTCATCTAAGTCTACATAATTTTACAACAAAATCAACATTAAAGTCAATAAGGGTGGTAATTTTCCTCTCTGTAATGGTAAAATAACTGGGTGGCAATTGTCCTAGGTGGCATTTGTCCAGGTGGCTTTTGTCCGGGGTGGCATTTGTTCGGGTGGACAAATTCCAGGTGCCTTTTGTCCAGGTGGCTTTTGTCATGCTCCCTGCTACATGCAGAGGTGGTCCGGGTGGACAAATTCCAGGTAGCTTTTGTCCGGGTGGCTTTTGTCCTGCTCCCTGCTACATGCAGAGGTGGTCGACACTCCACTTACTGACCTCTACTCTCTGAGCAATTACGTCAGTGAAGTGTTGATTTCCGATTACCTGCATGGTTTCAAAGCGTTCCGCTCCTAAGTCCTTTCTCACCTTTGGTAAGTTTGGGGTATTGGTACTGAAAGTTAAATGAGTTGAGTAACCGGGCTGTTCCCTCTTTCACCCCTTCCAGCGTGTGTTTGTGGGGGGTAGTTTTGAAGTCCAGATTAAGGTCTTCGACTTTAATTCACTAGGGTCACTTGATAATCGCGGGGAGGCGGGGTTTACTTGCCAAACAGCGTCCTTTTGTTTGTCAAAAGTTGTGGCTGAAAACCACATTAATTCGGGACTGCCCACTCCCTAGAGTTTTTGTGCTGTGTAAGCTAAGGGGTTATCTGAAGCAACCCATCACAAGTTCGGAGTTAGCATATCGGGAGTTGGTGCTTTCTCCTGGCCTCCTTGTGTTATGCGACCTCATGGTTGTAGAGTTGACACAGGGTAATCTGCAGCCCTCCTGCCAACCGTGGGATTATGCATACCATGAGATAGGATAAGTTTCAAAATTTGAAAATTTTATCATAAATTGTATATTTATATACTTATCCTATCTTACGCAATGGATATCCACCCGACCTGCCGCACATCACAGATTACCAGAAGCTTCAAGACGAGAATGACAGGCACAGATCGTCATCATCTGAGCGATCTGCACGCTTACTGAGATGATTGACAGGTATTGTTGTCGGAGTGGGGGCAGAGGTCGGGGGAGGGCAGAGGCCAGGAAGTTTTGATTCACGTCTACAGCACGTTTCCACACATGGTCGTAGAAGAAGAGAGGTGCATACCGTGAGATAGGATAAGTATATAAATATACAATTTATAGTAAAATTTTCAATTCTTACCTTCATAAACTTATCTTTTGGGAATATTGTAGTTTAGCTGTATTGAGAATTTCAAAGCCATCATTGTATGTTACATTCCGGGGAGAAAGAGCCAGTGCATGTTAAGGTTTTCCTTTATTGGCTAACTGCGTGTCAAGTTCATGAATTTACAACAGTGAAATATGAATTGTGAGATATAAGCAAAAATTGAAGATTGTGGCAAGCTATTTCAACTTGTTGTCTTGATAATGGAAGTTATCTACATTGACAGTTGTTAAAATTATTTGTATTTTTATCCCCTCGCATATAATGCGGGGGGATATAGTCATGGCCTCGTCTGTTTGTCCATCCATAATCTTTTCGTTTCCGGAGCATAACTTAAAAAAAATATTCAATATTTTTCAACAAAAGCTGGTATATCTATCATACAGAACCTACAGTGGTGCTTTTTGCTATTTGCCGATTTTTGGCGTTTTTATTTTTGTTTCTATGGAAACGATTCGGACTTAGTCTCAAAAGGAAGGGGATGGGTTTCGTTTCTGCAGCACAACTCGAAAACCATTCAGTGTCTTTCTACAAGACTTGGCCGATATATATCAAACATATCTTGAAGTGGTGCCTTTTGCTATTTTTATATTTTTCATGATTTCAATGGAAACAATTTGGACTTAGACTTAAAAAAATTAAGTTGGACTTAATCAGATGATTTGTTCTTTCAAATTTGTGGGGGCTGGGGTGTTTGTCATCTTCTGATGACTCTTGGTTAAACTGTTTGCAGCAGTAAATTCAAGAATTTCATGTTATAAATATAAGTTAAAATAATGCTTACCATGACTCTTGCAGGGTCCTCGTCCAGCATTGTTTGTCCCAGAGATCTCCTTCGAGCTTCTAGTGAAGCGACAAATTCGTCGGCTGGAGGAACCAAGTCTGAGATGTGTGGAGTTGGTCCATGAAGAGATGCAGAGAATGATCCAGCATTGTGGCACTCAGGTTATATAGTGGACATTACATTGTTCTGTTATATAGCTTTCATTTTTGGCTAGTTAGTTAGTGAGTTAGTTGTACCTCTTCCTTCCATACCATAATCACCTCACCAATTGGGTATATGTTTTATAAGTAGATGGGCCCAACTGTATGTATACTGATTTGTGATATTGTAAGATTTAAATCTCTACCCTTGTCTGCCTTCATGCTCCTAAATTCTTTCAAAACACATTGAACCACTGAAAGTAAGCTTCACATACTTATTCACCTGAGTGATGACATATACATTTGTTGAAGAGGTTTGAATAGTTTCAGCATGGCTGCTATATCAATGTTATTGAACAATTATTTTTGGCCTTTTGCAGAGCGAATTAAAACATTGGCTCAGCAAAAAAAAATATTTTAAATTACAATGCTGTTTTGTACTTTTCTTAAAATGTCCTCAAATACCAGACTAAAGAAGGTGAGTTTTGGTATGTGTGGTTCTCCTTATGAAATATTTTGTTCAGATCTTGAGGATTTAACTGTGTCTTTTGTGAAACAATACAACAGTTCCGGTTGAAGCCCCAACCCCTAGCTTCAGTATTTTGTTTTCGACAGTTAATCAACTACACTGACTAATCCATGTGGTGCCATAGCTGGTGAAAGTTTGGATTTTTTTAGCTTTAGTGTCTGTCTTTGTTGATACAACTGTTGGCTACATATCCAGATAAACTACCGTTCCAAGGCATTGTTTTTCTTTTTGTATTTTAAATGAGTACATTCTTTTCACAGCAAGAAATGTTGCGGTTTCCAAAACTTCATGAAAGAATCATTGATGTTGTAACAAACTTATTAAGAAGACGGCTTCCCCCAACAAATGCAATGGTTGAGAATTTAGTGGCGATAGAACTGGCCTATGTCAACACTAAACATCCTGACTTTTCTGAGGCCCACTTTGTGCACCGGTCTGTGTACGACACATCTGAGTCCTCCAACCACCCGACTCGGGCACTAACAAAAGACATGGTGGCCAAACACACAGAGGAAAAGGACAAGGTAGGGTTCCTCTTGCATTAACTGAAATGAAATAATATATATATAATAATATGTTTCAGCAATATGGGATGTTTATGGTTTGTTTTAAGATGGTAGATGTGCTTTAATTCTTGTGTTTCCACTCACCCAGTGCAAGCGATCTGATACCATGTGATGCTGTCTGTCTATGCATAATACCTTTTCCAAATGACTGATTATTATGTCTTTGATGTAAGTCTCTGTACCTTGAAATCCTGAAGTGATTGGATGACAGGTAGCTGGTACATTTGTAACATAACATAGGCGAAACATTGTATTGATGAAGTCCACCTAATGTAGCAAAAAAACCTGTGAAGATCCATATAGCTTGAATATTGCTGGACAACAAACCAACCAACTAATATAGCAAAGGCTGAAATTTTCTGGGCATGCTCAGTTTGTCTACTCTAATAATTCCGCTTCCAAAAGTCAAACTAACAAACACTGCTTGACCCAAACCAGTACCCATGATGAACTCCAAATTTCAGAAATTGATGATTTTATCCCCCGAACTTATGGATTATTGTTCAATACTGATTATGTTTGCATTGAGTTTACCTGAAATATTTAATTAAAGTTTTGCTGCAGTTGCCCTGACAAAACAAAACGGAAATTGGTTTCCACATAGAATTAATGAAATGGATAAGTATTTCTTCTATGGAAGGTCTTATTTATTATGGACTTCTTCAACTGTGGAAATCTATATAGTCAGTTAATGACATTGTCAGTTGTCATTTATATAGCTGATTCCACATTTCATATTTTAATGCTGTTTAATCCAATTTTTATTCCCCTCAACACATTTTGCAGGGATTTTAAAATGGACTCTGTCCGTCTGTGCAAATTCATCTTTTCCAGAGCAGAGCATAAAAAACGTTGGCACATAGTCATTGATTCATTTACCTGTGCTGTGCCTGCTCCGTCCTTTCTCGCACGCCTGGCTGTTCCTCTCTTTGCACTCCTCCCTCCTAATAAATAGTCTGTCAAAATTTTGATGATAGTTTGTTAAACAACTTTTTTAATTTTAGGACATAAATTCTGCAAAAACCTCACAGATTTGATCTAATATTTAATTATGATCTGCATTTCATTTAGTATTATATGTATATTAGTTTTCGAGTTAGTTTGCAATTCATCGGTCCAATTTTGAGCCAAACAGACTATAGTTGGGTTGACTCCTGGATGAAGTTCGGCCATTTGTTACACAATGGAAAACTCCCTTTGGATAACATTGCTTTCCTTTTGTTTGAAGATGTAAGACAGTGGTATTCACTTCAAACAACAACTCAAATGAAATACAGAGATGAGATTAAACAATCCTGGAGAATCGGTCAAACATTATTTCACCGAAAATTGAGTGGGATTAAAAACAGGTCACTTGGAAGAATAAGATTATGGTGACTTAAAGCAAGAGGATTTAAAGCTTAACTTTGCTGTGCCATCAAAACACATTTTGGATAAGGTTGAAAACTCATTTAGTGCTCAGATGCCCCAGGTATCTTTAATGAGGTTCTTGCTAAGATTTCAGAATATTTCAGTGACATTGCTTTATAAGTTTGGGTAGATGGAAAAAGAGAAACATGGGACCAAATCTGTCATTCAGTACATAGCTGCATGCTTCAAACCAAGGTCCTACCTCAGGTGATAAATAACAGGAAACCAACTACCCGTACAGTACCTTTTCAACAACCCATACAGTTGATTTGTTTACATGAGCAACTACAATCAGCCCGTACAGTTATTGTTTTCGCTAATATCTTAGTTTGTATGTTTTGACAGAAGCTAAAATCTTGACACAGCCCCTACATAACCTCATTTAGTCTAAAAATGCACAATTTGCACAAATGAATTCAATCGATTATGTTGTAAAGACGTCGAAAGTGGTCGATTTCTCAGCTTTTCTGATTGACGCCAAAAGACGTTTCAAGAAATGCTTCAAATGTAAACAAAATATAATGTGTCATCAAAATATATAAAAATCTTATAAAGTTTGGGACTCACTCTCTACCGGGATCAACTGTCTATCGAGGAAATGGTAGTTGATGACGACCAACGTCCGGTTGAGCATAGCCCGGGCTTACCCTCTAATACTTCTTTACTGATATAAAATTCTTGATTACCCAGATCAATGACCTTCATTATCTGTTGTAAATATTCCAGACAAAAGTAGGTGAGCTCCCGAGCCTTGTAGCTCTCTTGTTCAGAATAATATTAGCGTAACTGAATCCTAACTGACAGGTTAATAATAATATTTGGCAATGACTTCTTAACAGTAAGTCAGAGGAGCCATCAAGATTTAATGTGAGAGAAAGAACAGTTAGGTGAGAAATTGAATAATCATGTAAGTTATATATTTGTGATTTTGTGAATGTCTGATTTGCATGCAATGTGCAGTGGTTCACTATCTTAGATGATTAAGATGGGAAAATGTCAGATAATGGTATCATTTCGTATAGTAAGGGAATATATTATGGTAGCTGTGAAGGCTGTACTCAAAACCTGCAGTATTCATTTTAATGTAAAGAAAATGATGCCATAATTTTCCTTCCAAGCAGAGCGTTGCACTACAAGACAATATGAACGGTGGCACATGGAAGATATCCAACCTAATCAGGGGCAGTAGATTGGAGCTGTCAGCCGACAAACTGTCTGATCATGGGTCATCATCACTTCCAAGTAGTGGCCCCAATAGTGCAGTGCAATCACCAGCTCGAAATAGAAAGGGCATCAACCTGCTCCCTGAAGTGGTGTGTATGTTGCAATAATGTGTTGTAAAGACGAGTCATTACATTCTCATAAAGCTGCAACATCCTCTACACACCAGCCATCACACATTCAGATATTGCTCTAACATCCTCTACACACCAGCCATCATACATTGAGATAAAGCTGCAAAATCCTCTACACACCAGCCATCATACATTCAGATATTGATGTAACAACATCCTCTACACACCAGCCGTCATACATTCAGATATTGCTGCAACAACATCCTCTAAACACCAACCAGAACATATTCAGCTATTGGGGTGACAACATCCTCTACACACCAGCCGTCTCACATTCAGATATTGCTGCAACAACATCCTCTAAACACCATCCATCACACATTCAGATATTGCTGTAACAACATCCTCTAAACACCATCCATCACACATTCAGATATTGCTGTAACAACATCCTCTAAACACCAACCAGAACATATTCAGCTATTGGGGTGACAACATCCTCTACACACCAGCCATCATACATTCAGATATTGCTGTAACAACATCCTCTACACAACAGCCGTCATACATTCAGATATTGCTGTAACAACATCCTCTACACACCAGCCGTCATACATTCAGATATTGCTGTAACAACATCCTCTACACAACAGCCGTCATACATTCAGATATTGCTGTAACAACATCCTCTACACACCAGCCGTCATACATTCAGATATTGCTGTAACAACATCCTCTACACACCAGCCATCATACATTCAGATATTGCTGTAACAACATCCTCTAAACACCATCCATCACACATTCAGATATTGCTGTAACAACATCCTCTAAACACCAACCAGAACATATTCAGCTATTGGGGTGACAACATCCTCTACACAACAGCCATCATACATTCAGATATTGCTGTAACAACATCCTCTACACACCAGCCGTCATACATTCAGATATTGCTGTAACAACATCCTCTACACACCAGCCATCACACATTCAGTTATTGCTGTAACAACATCCTCTACACACCAGCCGTCACACATTCAGATATTGCTGTAACAACATCCTCTAAACACCATCCATCACACATTCACATATTGCTGTAACAACATCCTCTACACACCAGCCATCATACATTCAGATATTGCTGTAACAACATCCTCTACACACCAGCCATCACACATTCAGTTATTGCTGTAACAACATCCTCTACACACCAGCCGTCACACATTCAGATATTGCTGTAACAACATCCTCTAAACACCATCCATCACACATTCACATATTGCTGTAACAACATCCTCTACACACCAGCCATCATACATTCAGATATTGCTGTAACAACATCCTCTACACACCAGCCATCACACATTCAGATATTGCTGTAACAACATCCTCTACACACCAGCCATCACACATTCAGATATTGCTGTAACAACATCCTCTAAACACCAGCCATCACACATTCAGATATTGCTGTAACAACATCCTCTACACACCAGCCATCATACATTCAGATATTGCTGTAACAACATCCTCTACACACCAGCCGTCTCGCATTCAGATACTGCTGTAACAACATCCTCTACATCCCATCCGTCACACATTCAGATATTGCTGTAACAACATCCTCTACACACCAGCCGTCTCGCATTCAGATACTGCTGTAACAACATCCTCTACATCCCATCCGTCCACATTCAGATTCAGATATTGCTGTAACAACATCCTCTACACACCAGCAGCCGTCTGCGCGTTCAGATACTGCTGTAACAACATCCTCTACATCCCATCCGTCACACATTCAGTTATTGCTGTAACAACATCCTCTACACACCAGCCGTCTCGCATTCAGATACTGCTGTAACAACATCCTCTACATCCCATCCGTCACACATTCAGATATTGCTGTAACAACATCCTCTACACACCAGCCGTCTCGCATTCAGATATTGCTGTAACAACATCCTCTACACACCAGCCGTCTCGCATTCAGATACTGCTGTAACAACATCCTCTACATCCCATCCGTCCCACATTCAGATATTGCTGTAACAACATCCTCTACATCCCATCCGTCCCACATTCAGATATTGCTGTAACAACATCCTCTACATCCCATCCGTCACACATTCAGATATTGCTGTAACAACATCCTCTACATCCCATCCGTCACACATTCAGATATTGCTGTAACAACATCCTCTACATCCCATCCGTCACACATTCAGATACTGCTGTAACAACATCCTCTACATCCCATCCGTCACACATTCAGTTATTGCTGTAACAACATCCTCTACACACCAGCCGTCTCGCATTCAGATACTGCTGTAACAACATCCTCTACATCCCATCCGTCACACATTCAGATATTGCTGTAACAACATCCTCTACATCCCATCCGTCACACATTCAGATATTGCTGTAACAACATCCTCTACATCCCATCTGTCACACATTCAGATATTGCTGTAACAACATCCTCTACATCCCATCCGTCACACATTCAGATACTGCTGTAACAACATCCTCTACATCCCATCCGTCACACATTCAGATACTGCTGTAGCAACATCCTCTACATCCCATCCGTCACACATTCAGATATTGCTGTAACAACATCCTCTACACACCAGCCGTCTCGCTACATCATTCAGATACTGCTGTAACAACATCCTCTACATCCCATCCGTCACACATTCAGTTATCGCTGCAAGAACATCCTCTACACACAAACCATCACACATTCAGATATTGCTGTAACATCCCCCACAAACACCAGTCATCTCACATTCAGATATTGCTGTAACAACATCCTCTACACACCAACCATCATACATTCAGATATTGCTGCAACAACATCCTCTACACACCAGCCATCATACATTCAGATATTGCTGTAACATCATCCTCTACACACCAGTCATCTCACATTCAGATATTGCTGTAACAACATCCTCTACACACCAGCCATCACACATTCAGATATTGCTGTAACAACATCCTCTACACACCAACCATCATACATTCAGATATTGCTGCAACAACATCCTCTACACACCAACCATCACACATTCAGATATTGCTGTAACATCCCCTACACACCAGTCATCTCACATTCAGATATTGCTGTAACAACATCCTCTACACACCAGCCATCACACATTCAGATATTGCTGTAACAACATCCTCTACACACCAGCCATCTCACATTCAGATATTGCTGCAACAACATCCTCTACACAAACCGTCACACATTCTGATACAGCTGCGGCTAGACTAATTCCATGGTTTAAAAGACTTGTAATATCTTGTATCAGTTTTTAGTGTATATTTGGTGTATATTCTTTCATGAGTTACTGCATTTTCAATATCCCCTCTGCTTAAGAAGACCTATGGATTTGAACTGTTATTAGCCAGCTATAATGTTGGTACAAACTGCACTTTGAATTCTGACTCTATTTTGAATATTGCCTCCACAGCATTTAGAGAATTATTAATGGCTTTTAATCAGCCATATACTGTGTAAGACTTAATTATGTCTTGTAAATAACATCCATTACACACTGCCATGTCGCCAGCAGCCTGCTCGTCAGATGTGACTTCATGGATCAGCTGCTCAGATTGATTTGGTAGAATACATGACATATTACTCTAGAGGCATGAATCATTGGCCATAATATCAATAACTGGAATGTAGAGTTGAGACATCATGTAGAGGGAATAGTGCTGAGTGTGACAATCAACATCAAAACAAACAATCCCCTAGACAGCAGCCATGCAGCTTTGCTTATAGTTGTTCTCAGCTAGCTCGCTATACTATATTCCTATTCATTTTCAAATCCATGAGTTAACAGTAACTGATATTATTATGAGCTGTTGGAGCATATATAATGCATGCCTTCTCCCTAACTCATAACAGCTCAGTCCACATTTACGAACTTCATGTCTCCCATGAACGATTTAGATTAGATTAGGTCTTCAGCAACCCAAGCTTGTCGTAAGAGGCGACTTATGGGATGTGGTGGTCAGATGTAAATGTATGTTTCTTATCAAAAGGTTGATGATGAACATCTTCTGTAAACATAACTGTTATGTGGAGTTGTTAGCTCATATGTACTATATTTTCTTGAATATAGTGCAAACTATTGGTGTTTTGTCAACAAAATAATTTTGAGTATTAAAGGTGGAAACAAATCTAACTTGTATCCCTGCAGGGAACTTTTAATCAGTCCCTTAAATGTGACATTTGTGATTAATGTATCCATGTATTTTTGTGTATATGTCTCCCCACTTCATAAGAACTATTTAAATTTTTATTGGTGTGTGGGGAATGTTCAGTTTATGCAAGAAAATACAATACAGTATCTGCTTCTACAACTCTTACATTTTTTTGCCATCTGATCTAAAGCTGTTTGGCCTAAGGAACTGAAACTTTGTATGCATGATCCCACATCTCCAAATGTAGTTCACAGAAAATGATTTGTGTATCGGCCCTTTGTAAGGGTTGAAGGTTTTGCATTGTGTGGTTATAATTTGTAACCCTCTATGATTTAAAAGATAAAGCTACTCGTTTTTTCAATTTTGCAGTCCTTTATCGTTGATTTAAGACCGCTAAATGTAATTTAAAAACGTGTTCGGTTGAAAACCGAGTAGCTTTATCTTCATTCTAGCACGACTGATAAGAGTTCTAAAACCGAACTGTTTGGCGCGCAAGAACACAAGGCGTGAAGGGGCCTTTTTCCTGGAAATCGCGTGGAATCGTCCCGTTGAGGGACAGGTTGTGTAATGAACACAATAAGACATTTTCAACAACATAAATGCTTTATTTCAGGAACCAGTATGCTTGTATTTGTAACAAGTAGCATACACAAATAAAAAAAAACAACAGTTTATACTGTGAGCAAGTACAATTATTTGATTTTTCTAAAGCGAATTATTGATCTCCCCTACTGTATGACAATCAACTCGACCCAATTCAAGCCGTGAATTCACTATGTTTAGTCACCGCTAACTTTATTCACGGAAATAATTGTTGATAACCACCCTACTATTCCCAATTTGGAAAAGACCTAACATGCCACGTTTTATGCGGGATACATGGACAGTGGAAGTGGAAGGACTGGACATTACGGCCGGGACAGAAGCGGTCAGGTTAGGACGTGTGGGCCGACACGTGTTGTCGACGTCATGCCCACTAGATCTAGTCCCGGTTTGAATATACTTCTGCTTTTGCGCTGCTGACGGATTTTCCAGCTTCGTAGTTTCTTCACTGGGATTAGGGTCAAGAAATTCTTTTTCAAACCATTCGCTTTTTACTTCAAAAACACCAAACATGCTGCCGAGGTAGAAAATCGGGATGTCCGACATATTTGTTTACAAACAATAGGGTCAGCGAGTTTGTTGTATTCATACACGGTGAATCGGTCACTTTAATTAGCGGTCTAAAACTGCCATTTAAGTACGGTTTTGATGAGCTCTCAGCCAGTCAGAATCGAGTATCTCACCATGTCGTGCTAGAATAAGTTTTTAATGGCCAAAATACAGTGATGACAATTGTATCAAGGTCGCTTATCTGTAAATCCAGACACATTTTTACAATAGTATGTTACTATTGCAGCCTGAGCAACCAGTTATGAAGCTTTCGACTAGAGAACAGAGAGACTGCGAAGTCATAGGTAACATAGTGGCCACATATTATCTTCTGTTCCTGTAGAAAGTTATGTTTCTATCTCCTCACTGTCACAGGGCCAGTAGCATTGTCTGTGAATGTATGCAGCTAAAAGCAGTGGATGTCCTTCCTGTAAATTATTGTATCATGTACTGGCTGGTGATATTGATGTACTGATGATATACGAGATTAAAAAATGGATTCGTTTGTGAAACATGGTGTACACTGTAATAGTGGCTAATCCTATTAATGTGCAAATGTAGCCACTCACAAAATGTATTTTCCTTTGTGAAACATGGTGTAGTAGTGGCTGATCCTATTAATGTGCACATGAATCAGCCCTTCACAAAATGTATTTCACATTATATGTTCTGGTTGTCCTGACAGAGCGCCTCATAAAATCGTACTTCCTGATAGTGCGTAAGAACACACAAGACAGCATCCCAAAGGCCATCATGCACTTCCTGGTGAACCACGTGAAGGATAACCTGCAGTCGGAACTGGTGTCCCAGCTGTATAAGAAGGAGGAGGTAACTCTGCTGGAGGAGTCTGACCACATTGCTGCACGCAGGAAAGAGGCACAGGAAATGTTGCAGGTATGCAGTGCTTGATGCTGGTTATGGTCAACTTTAATATTGCACAACTTGTGAATTAAAATATATGTAATTCTTATCAACCTGTTACCTATATTAGTAGTTCTGAAAATCCTGATATTTCCTTATCCTGACTCATGCTTATTGCTTGTCTCCCTTTCCTTCCTAATGCTAGTGGAACACTTGAATCCCCTTTTGAAGCTCCCTTAAAAAAAGCGGACGTAAAATCACTTACCAGGAGTCACCTCCCTTGCCAGGTTTTGGCGGGAACGGCGCCACCCGTCCGCCATGCTCTTCACTCTCTCCTGATTCGCCCGAGTGGGCGGTTGTGAGAGCACCTGGTCCCCTATACGGCTTTATATCCTTTTACTATTTAGGCTTTTCTTCTAAATTAGCTGTATAAGGCTTTAGCTAACATTTACCTACAATATTGTACGGAATTAATTCTCAAATTTCTCCGTTTTTACGTGATTATTCACATTGTTTACAATTGATGAAATCTTGTTCTGATTGTAGGTATCGTTTGTCTGCTGTTGATCCGGATAACCTATGTCCTAATTGCAAGCCTATATGTTTATCTGACACTTGTTGTCAGTTGTGTTTTCACCTGTCTGATATTGCATTTTACAAATATTCATATTATCTGTCTAGACGTGCAAAGGACAGGTCCAGACGAGAATTACACGACATGTCTAAACTGGCTAAGCTTGTAGAGGACTGGCAGTTGGTGTCTACGCAGATACACCATTCCAGTGGTCTACCGTGGTCGTCTACGGAGGAGGTTGCCGCCTTAGACAATGCTGGCTCGAGGAAGAGGTCATCTACATCTGAGACACCCTCTTCGCAGTCTAAGAAGACTAGGGCATCGTCTTCCCAGAGGAAGAAGGCAGCTACAGCTAAGACTTCGGCGAAGTCTCCACACGGGGCAACGCAGAAGACGAGATCTTTTTCAGCTGAGATCGTCCCTCTGGAAGAAATAGATGTCTACGATGAGCCGCCCGTCCTCATCCCTGAGATCACATCTAAGAAGAAGACGAAGACGTCTTCTACAGTGACCACGCGGGACATCCTATCAACGCAGACGTTCGGCACGAAGGATCTACGCCCTTCGGAAGAAGCCTCATCCGTCTCAGATGCGTCGTCAGTACAACAGACAACTCAGACCTTCAACCCGGGCACCTTTATGCAGCAATTTACCCAACAGATGTTGGATCTGATGGATCAACGGTTCGCACGCCAGAGAGCTGCGACGGAGACGACGTCTGTGACGAACCCGAGTGAAGGTCAACTGAGCAGCACACCACGTCCGTTGGGAACCAACGTCCCGCAGAGCATACAGGAAGATTCCAGCTTGACTACAGCGTCCGCACAAATACCTGGCAGCCATACCAACGTGGACTCCGCACCAACTACGTTCGACGGAAGGACCAGACGTTCACTGAACCCACGCAGATCATCATCGACATCAGATACGGACGTTCGTCACGAACCTGCACGCAGGTCGTTACCAAGGAGAAGAGAATCAACATCTGTACGAAGGCATAGAGATTCGTCACAAGACTCCAACCCTCGACAAAGCCGTTCACCAACACGCAGGTTCGCGTGAAGGCACGCACGGTCATCTCTATCTCCACGCAGGTCCCCACGTAGGATGTCACGAACACATTCACGAATGTATGGTTCGCCACGAAGGTCACCACGCAGGTCTCCTTACAGATCGCCACGCAGGTCGCCACACAGATCGTCTTACAGATCACCTTACAGATCTCCTCGGTCTGACGACAATAGAAGACATCCATCCTCAGAGCAGGAAGATGACGGCGGAATTATATTTTCTGACTCGGAAATCAAGTCATGGATGGCCAACGGTTTGGAACTCGCATCACCCTCTAAGGAGACCAACGAAGCACTATCATACTTGATGGTGAATGATGATATAGACTCACTCACGATGCCACCTATCGACTCTGTCTTAGACATTCCAGACAACCTCAGCACAGCCTTCAAGAAGCCAACTAAATACCAGACTCAGAGTATTCCATCGTTCAACGCTAAGAAGTTCTCTCTACACCACATGGAACCCTTCATGAAGGCCCCAGAGATAGATGAGAATTATAAGATCATCAACGACACTCGGACTAAAGCTTACAAGATAGAAGATAAAAAGATGGCACAGTTAGACACAGTAACCAGACGAACCTTCTTCGGCCTAGCCAGGTCAAGAGCTGTCAACGAGACTCTCATCTGGAAGTTTAAGAATTCAACTTCAGAGGAAGATAGAATGATTTATTCAGCTCTACTTACACAGAAAAAGGATCATCAGTTCATGTCTGAACACCTATCATCCATTTCTGCAGGCTTAACATTATCAAGAAGGCAAGGACTGTTATCTTCATGTACTTGGAGCGAGAAGTTTACCAAGACACTCTACAGAGCCCCTTGGTCAGCACCATCCATTTTTGCAGGAGAAATTGATGAAGTCGCCAAGGAAGTCGCTAAAGATTCCCGAGAAGTAATGATGATCAAGTCTATCGATACACTGGCCAGTGTAATGCGTCAGACCTCCCAACGTTATTCTGGCAAATCGAAGTTTGCAGGCATCCAGAGAGCAAGGGATAAGAAATCAGGCAACGCTAAAGGAAATAAGGATTCTTTTCGTCGCCCATCCGCAGCTCCAAGAGGTAACTACGGAAGAGGTCGGCCCTTTCGAGGCGCCAGAAGTTCCTGACGATGAAATACAGGTTCGGAATGACTGGAGTCTTCCACCCCCAGCCGTTCCAGTACAACCTTCACAAGTGGGTGGACGTCTGCAACTCTACTGGAAGAATTGGGGAATTCTTCAAGACGACTTCGTATCTCAGATTCTACGCACAGGTTACAGGATACAGCTACATGCAGTTCCACCAGTAACAATCAACCCACTGGTTCACAACTACGCTGCAGACCAGAAGGGAAATCTACTAGAAGCCATCACATCTCTACTAGAGAAAGAGGCAATAGAAGAGATAAAACACTGCGTCACACCAGGTTTCTACTCCCCAATTTTTCTGGTACCAAAGAAAAATTCAAAAGAAAAGTTCTGACTCATTTACAACATGAGGAAATTCAACAAAGATTACCTCCTACCACCCGCAAAGTTCAAGATGATACATCTTCCACAGCTACGACAGCTCATACGTCCGCTAGACTATCTCGCCAGCATAGATTTACAGGATGCATACTTACACATCCCGATCCATCAGGAGTCAAGGAAATATCTACGATTCCTGTTCAATGGACGTCATTTCCAATGGAAGGTCCTGCCATTTGGAATATCTTCGGCCCCCTGGTTGTTTACTCGAGTGACAAAGCCCATCAATATATATCTACATCGTCGAGGTCTACGCAGTGCGTTCTACCTAGACGACGGGATTCAAGCTCAGCAAGATCCCAGTCAACTCAGACTGCAACTGAACTTCACCATCAGACTTCTCACTCAACTAGGATGGCTAGTAAATCTCCTCAAGTCGGAACTACAGCCTACTCAGAACTTGCAATTCCTAGGAATACGGCTTATAACAACGAAGAATCGCATTCTCGTTCCAGAGGATCGTTGGATCAAGATTCAACAAATGATCACTCAAGTTGTACTCTCTCCGTTACCACTACGAGAATGGCAGAGCCTATTAGGTCTCCTCACGTCAGCTCAAGACATGACACGCAGAGGGAGACTACAACTGCGTCCACTACAGAGATTTGTGAACGCCCACTTACACAGTCTGGATCCCTTCGAAATACCAGACAGGCTAAAACCATATCTACTATGGTGGACTCAGAAGTCGAATGTTTGCGACGGAAACTACTTAATAGAGCCGGAGTGCAACGTCCACCTCTACACTTTGACTTTTTTCTAGCCAAGATTGACAAAATTCATTCAACACTGAAAGGTACTAGACTCCAGTCTGATACTCCTACTGATACACAGTTTTCTGGTATACCACTATTGGAGTTTCAGCCATTTTCTGAAAACGACATCAAGAAGATCATTTCTGGATCGAGGCCGACCACTTGTCAATTGGACCCGATTCCCACATCTCTGGTAAAAGAATTCCTGGATTTGCTGCTCCCAGTTATCACAAAGATGGTAAACAGTAGTTTGACAAGTTGTGTTATCCCAGATTCTTTCAAACATGCCACTGTTATTCCCCTGTTAAAGAAGGATAACCTAGATCCAAACTTGCTTAAAAACTTTCGACCAGTCTCTAACCTGAAGTTTATATCAAAGATACTTGAGAGAGCAGTTAATATTCGACTCAAGGATCATTTCTCAGCCTTTTCACTTTTGGATAAATTCCAGTCCACCTACAGATCAAATCATAGCACCGAGTCAGCTCTCCTCAGAGTCTCCAACGACTTACTCACAGCTGTTGATGAAGGCAAACTAGCTACTCTTATCTTGCTTGACCTCTCTTCTGCCTTTGATACAATCGACCACCAACTCCTTCTGGAAAGACTCAAGGGCCAATTTGGAATCCATGGGGTACCCCTCATCTGGTTACAATCTTATCTCGAAAGCAGAAGTCAGACTGTACTGTTAGATACCATCAAATCACAAACCTCCTTGGTCCACTGTGGTGTACCCCAGGGATCGGTACTCGGTCCGCTTCTTTTCATTGCTTACATGACCGATGTTGCAGACGTAATTGACAAACATGGCATTTGCCATCATTCGTTTGCAGATGACACTCAACTTCAGAAAAACTCAACTCCCAAGGACTTTCACACTGGTCTTCATAAAATAACAGACTGTACTAAAGATGTTAAGTCATGGATGACAAACAACTTGCTAAAGTTAAATGATGACAAAACTGAGGTGATGGTTGTTGTATCCAGGCAAATGCAAAAAAAAAAAAAATTACCACCAGTACTGTTCTGGTAGCAGATGCAGAGATACAACCAGTGGACTCTGTTAAAGACCTTGGAGTTACACTTGACTCACACCTGGCGATGGACACTCATGTAAA